AACCCATTCAAGGCCAACACTTCCCAAGACTTTGTGGACTGCTCAGGCATTGATAAAGCTGGACCTCTCACCCTGGGCCCTCAGTTGAGAATTAGGGCCTGGGATCCATGCCTCCCACAGTAAAGCTACCTTTGATCCAAATCCATTTCAAGTAGTTCAATGGCCTGGTCCCTTAGAGCTCCACACCCCAGTCCCAACCCCTCCTTTAACTAGGGCCTCTCTTGCATTTGCCAGATGAATAGCTTCTCAAGGCCAAGGGTAGCTGTCTCAATCTTCAGCTTTTTCCACTTGGTTCCCACCACTTCCATCATTTCAGCCTGTGGAATCCTCCTTTGTGTCAAAACTTAGACCTCTGAGATACCCTTTTAGTCTAGCTTGCGGATGTCCCAATCTTCTCCCTGAACAAGCATTGGCTAAGGCTGTGCCTTGACCTCATCTCTCCACCTTTCCTCCCAGACTAATTATAAGCTTCCTGAGCCACAGACTTCACCTGTGTCTGAGTACAGCTTGGGACATGCGGCATGTTTCATTGCACTAATTCTCAATAAACAGCTGGTGGTGACTAGAGATGCTGGCATGGTGCTATCCTTTCTGAAGAATCACAGCCAAAGAAGTAACTAGATGTTTACAGTCTGGATGTGTCTCGCTGCTAAAGTTTGTGTGTAGTCTTGTGGGAGAAGGGGTGAGGGTGAGAGGCCAAGAGCTCTCAAAGAAGGGAGCTGGCCGGGGCCCCTGAGAAAGAAGCAAGCCATGCTGTGCGTGTGCCTGGGTGGCCCTGCAGATAGGGTCACGGGGTTAAAACAGAAGGAAGCCATCCTCCATTTCCCCCACATATTAATCTTTCTTCCAACCCTCTGGGAAATACCCTCTTCTTTCTGGGCAGTCCTGGGAGGCCTCAAACCTCAGAACATTCCTTGAGCTGCTGCCCAATGCATTCTCAGTCTTTTTTATATTAATATTTTGAGACAGGGTCTACTGTATAACCAGGCTAGCCTTGACTCTCAATCCTCCTGATTCGGAAGCCCCAGGCTCCCTGAGTGCTGATTACAAGCATGTACCACCACACCCTGCCTGTATTCTTTTAAAATGACCCTCTGGACTGGGGAGTGGCCCAACTGGTAGAGTAACTTCCTAGCAAGATGAGGCCCTGAGTCAAACCCCAGTACTACCAAAAAAAAAAAAAAACATAAAATGACCCTCCAATGCATAAAGCCCTGATTCAATCTCCAACACCACAAAATTAATTATTAATTAGCGATTAAAATTACCCTCCAGGTAGGCCAGTGTACCAGGGCTCTAGATCCCCTGGACTGGCAGGGGGAAGTGGGAACTTCGCCGTATTTTGGAAGGGCCAAGGCAGAAACCTGGGCTGTGACCTGCTCAGACGCCCACTTTTTCTTGGCTTGATTAAGGCCCTCCCCGTTTCTGAACATCCCTCTCCTTGTCAGTGAGATGGGACCAGTGGTGTTTATTTGTCCTGCTCCTCACCATAGTGAAAGTCTAGCTTTGCCTGGGGGCCCTGTAAGTACATTACACCCCATCATCCCACACACCTCAGCTTTCCAGGTGTGAGTGGCCCCCTCCCCATTCCTGAGAAGACTGGAAGTAAGGGGGAGAGTCTACCAGTTGGATATGAGGGGCCAACTAGGAAACATGCATTCCTCCCCTTCCTCAGCACTGGTCCTAACCTCTGGGCCTAGCTATCGCTGTCCCTGCTATGAGGTCTGGTCACTGCAAACTTGGAGGAGAAGGTCTCTATCACCTTGAAGCCTTTGAACCATTTACTGTGCCAGGATGTAGGGATACATGATACATAGATCCCTATCACCTGGGGAGGTCTTCCCACCAGATCTCAGTTCTTTCTCTCCCAGGGATACTGTTTGGTCCCCATTTCCCACCACCTACACAGAGTGAAGCACAGAGGCAATGAATCAAAACATCAGACTTGCGACCTCATTCTTGTTCTGCAGAGTGATAGGTGGGAGGTGAGGGTCTGCTCAGTGTGGCTGGGCCTGAGGCTTCTCAAAACTGACAGCCCTCCCTATATGGATTTGCCACAGGAGGATTCCTGCACAGAAATGCAGTCCTGAGCACAGACTGCAACTGGCTGCTGTTCAGGGCCCAGAGGGAGACTCCAGCCCCTTCACAGACATGGACACAACGAGACCCGTCAGTTGCTTTATATTCAGGTACAAACAAATAGTACAAAGGTACAGAGGCCCAAGTTCCTCTCCATCGGGTCCTGTGAATAAGCAAGAGAACAAAATAAGGAGAAAATAGGGGAGCTGTGAGCTCAACCTAACTGGCCTAGACCCATATTGCAACAACACAGCCCACCTGCTAAAGGTTCATTTTTTTCCAGTGGCCACTGGCTCACCTCTGCTAACCAGGACCAGTTCTCAGTTACAAATGGACTGCTCTATGTTTCCCATACCTAGCACATGGGCTGGCATATAGTAGTACTATAAACAAAGAGTTAGAGATGCAAATAGTCCTCAAGAACCATAATCACTGTTACCTACACAGAGGAAATAGGCTTAGGGGATTGAGTAATTTTTCCAGGTCCTGAGTAGTAAAGCTGCGGAGCCAGGATGTGACCCAGGCAGTCGTCCCAGGCTGTGCTCCTCACAATCTGTGTCTGCCTCCCATGTCCTTAAAACTTTCTCCTAAGCAGCAAGCCACACACTGCATGAATGACAACACTGCACACCCTGTTCACAGACAATATGTATATTATGAAATGCTGATTTACCATACATTGCACACACATACAAACATATATACACATGATGAAGGTCCAATCACTTTTCTCAGCTGGCAACACAAACAGGGATGGGTTCCCCTAGGGAAAAGTTCCCTGGTATCCTTTTGTCCAGCCCAGGTATACCCCACACTGCAGTGTGCCCTTACCCAGCCTCTAGCCTCTCTCCAGGATGCCAGGTCCAACGCAGGAGAGAGCTGCAGCTGACAAAGTCCCGGGGGAATGAGTTGGACATGAAGATGTTGTTCTTGGACAGTGGTGATGCCTGTGTTGTCACAATGATGCGGAGGTAAAAGATCCTGGCCAGGCTGGCGCTGCTCCGTGCTGAACACACCTGCATTCTCCCCACCAAAACCTGCACAGGGACACCAAGGACATTGTGTCTAGTGTGTGCTGGGCTGGGAGAACATCACCTGACTTGAGGGGCCCTAGATGCAAAAGGACCACAGATTGACTCCGCCCTGCATACAGAAGAGCTCCAAGCCCTTGGTGGTCCCTACCTACAGTGTAGAGTACAGCACAACTGCCTGATTGCCCCCTTGACCCAACCCAGCAGCTTCCAGGCACCACTCATGCTACAGCAGGAACCAAGCCCACCTGGCTCATGAACACTGAGTGTGGGAGAGCCTCGAGTATGGTGTACATTGGTCCGTCCCCCCTGCAAGGACACCTTTTTCTCATATTTCCAAAGGTGACACAAGCTAGACATTGAGATGTCAGGACTATGATGAAATGATGCAAAGTTAAGTTGGAACTGTTTCAGCAATGTTGACATCTCCATAGTGGCAAGAGAACCCAGAGGAAGAAATAGTAAGAGTGGTACTTTCTGTCTTCTTACAACAAGCTCAGGACAAGGCACATCAGGGATGACCTGGAGCTTCCCCAGAACAGCAAAATCACTGACCCTTTATAGCCCTTAATTACAGGGGAATCAGCCCCGGGAGATGCAGGACAGGCCCACAGTCACCCAGCAGGCCTGAGCAGTGTGCACCACCTCCTTCACCGATCTCCATCCCGGAGCTTCTTACTGGTGCCAATAGGCAGCAAGTAGTGGCCCACACGGGACCCATTACCGTTCCGGCCTCAGCCACCCACCCATCCAGATGTCATGTTGTTGGTGCCATATGCGCATCTTCCTGCTTGCCAAAGTCCAGGTTCTTAGCACTGAAGCCCAATTCGCCCACGGCGGGCTGGGAAGCCCACAGAAACCCTCCAGGCATACCTGAATGGAAATGATAGTGCCTTGAGTACCTCTGCTGCAAGGGAAGACCCTGGACAGCAGAGAATCCAAATGTATCATCACCAAGAAAACCCACCTTCTCACACGTAGCAACAGACAAAGTTAATCCTGAATCCTGACTCATGCCAAAGAGACTGGGCCTCTCGAACCCCTCATTGTCTTCCTGCTCACTACCTAGGCAAACCCTAAATGCCATAATTCCGCCACCCATTCAAAAAAACAGGACATTCAACATCCTAGAGCAACCCAAATGCCTGTCTCGACCAGGGAGGGGAAGTGGTCTCAGCTCTACCACCACGTCCGCCCCATACCAACAGGCTTAGGTGTGGCTTATCGTGTCCAAGCTCCATCCACCACTGACTTGTCTAGAGCACCTAACCAGTCTCGAATTTCCAAGCCTCCATTTCCGCATCAGTAAAAGTGGCAGTATAATCCTCCCCTTCAGCATTCATGAACATGACAGAATGAGATATGGTGGAGAGGGTTTTCAGTCTGTTCGTTTCGAGGTGCCTGCAGGTAGGCTCAGCAGAGAGAAGCAACAGAAGCGCAAGTTGACCCAAGCGAAAACGGAAGGCGGCCTTACCCTTCAGATGGCTTTTTTTGTGAGGAGCAAAAGCTGGGGCGGGAAGCGTTGGAACCTAGGGCATTGGAGGAGGTCCCTGATGCAAGAGAGCTATGCGCCTAATAGCGGAGAGGAATGAGGTACGAGGGCTCCTCACTGCCTCACCTGGGAGACCGTGGTCCCTGCTTGCGCTTCATTCAGACAGCAGGTCCAGCCCACCTCATACCGCTCAAACAAACCGCCCCGAGCTCATCCACCACGATTTGGTTCTGGCGATTCAGCTTGGCAGGGGTGGCCATGAGGCCCCGGAGGATGGGGTCAATGCCACCTAAGGGCAAGAGGAACAAGGTTGGAGAGAAGGACCAACTTAATACCAGTATCAGACTGGAGTCAGAGCAAGTCCTAATGGTCAGGAGATTGGAGAAGGTTGGGCATATGCAACATCAGTGCCCAGGTGGCCCCAAGTGAGCAGTCCTCATCAGGTATTGGCCTTAGGTGCACTTGAGTCTCAGAGGGCTATGCCATTCAGACTTGCCAGGTTGGGATTCTCCCAGCCTCTGGCCTTCTGGGTCACAGACAGTAATAACCCATAAGACAGAGCCATCTCCGCCTCACTCCTTATTCTAAGATCCAGAGCAGGTGCACCTAGTCTGGAGAGTCAGACTAGATCCCCAAAAAGAACAAGAAAGACCTCATCCTAGCTCTCTGAAGCTTATCCTGCCCCACCCTCAACTGCTAGCTCACTCTATTCTGGTCCAGGTTCCACTCACCTTCCAGCACTACCCTCCAGCTGGCAAAAAACACCTTGCTGAGTGGGACACGGGGGTTGGGCTCCATGGGCTGGTACTGATTGTTCAGCGGAACATGAAGGGTTGGATGAGGGTGTGGCCATAACGGAAGCATTGTGTGAAGACATTGGCGATGCGCGGGTCCACCGAGTCGTTGTAAGCGCGATACTGGGGGAGGTACTTCCTCATGGCTGCTGGTCCCAGCACAAGGGGCAGGTAGTCTCGGTATGTGATGATCTAAAGAAGAGTTAGGTGGAACGGCTTCTCTATTCACTAGTGTAGAGGCTCTGCCTATTCTTGGCTTGGGGATCCCTCCTATCCATCTATGGTCAGAAAACTGTCTCCTACAGTACTGGATGGGAACCTAAAGGAGTGGCCCTGAGGGCATACATAGAGCTCTATTGCTTGCTGGCTGTGTGACCTTGGGTTACTAATTAGCCTCTCTGAGCCTCAAATGTAAATTGAGAGTAATTATATTGCCCTCTGCCTTACAGGATTAAATAGAAAAATGATTTGTTAGTCATTAATGTCCCTTGAATTATTAATGAATCATTTCTCCCACTATTTTATAAACTCCTTGAGAGCCAGGGAATTTGAAATTAATTACTCACAGTGCCTAGCAAAAGCCTGACCCACAGTAGGGCTCAATACGGGTTTGAGGCAGGAGGGGAGGCAGGAAAGAATGAAGGCTGCTCTAGCATGATTTCCCACAGTGAAAAAGTTTCACTCTAGATTCTAGACTCTAGATCCTCTGAAGCTAAAATGAACCCCACTTGTGTTTTCAGTGCAAATCAAAAAGTCTTCCTTTGCACCTTCAATTCTCCCTTTCCAGAATCCAAGAGTGTGTGTGTGTGTGTGTGTGTGTGTGTGTGTGTGTGTGTGTGTGTTTATTTCTTGGGAAGAAAAGGGGGCCCTGGAATATCAAAAGTTGGAACTGAGGCTGGAGACTTGGCTCAAGTAGTAGAGCACCTGCCTAGCAAACATGAGGCCCTGAGTTCAAACCCTGGTACAGACAAAAAAAAAATTGTGAAAGAACCAGGATTTCTGCCCCAGGGAGGAATGAGGCTCAGAAAGTTAAGTGGGTGGTGACAAAACCCAAAAGAAGAAGTGAATGAATAATGTCACTCTTAGCTAAGAGTGACAATGAGATGGGGGAAGGAAGAAAACACTAAACAGCTGTTATGCACCAAACATGTGGACACCCCCTACAAACCCTCCCAACACCATTCCCAGACCTCCAGGAAAGAAGAAAGCCTAGGAAGGAGGGGAGGGAAGGTTAGTGGCATTTGTCAAGCGCTTTATATCTAACAGGAGGGTCCTTTAATCCTTACAGCAGCAAAGCCCAGGAAAGTTGGTCACTTGCCCAAGGTCACACAGCTAATATGCTGCAGAGACCCCTCTGGTTGCCAAGTCAACCCTACGCTCAAGACAGCCTACCTGGACCATGGCTCCCACAATCTTCCGGGCTTCCTGGTAGAGTCTCTCCCCATTCCACCTGGGGTTCAGGCGCTTGAGCTGTGTGGCCAGCCGGTTGTGTTCTCGAACAAAGAGGGTGTGCATGGAAGTGAGCTCAGGCATCTCACTGGAGCGGGTGTCCCCTGAGGAAAACAAAGTTACTGTCACTCATATGGCCTCTGTCCCAAGAAAGATTTGCTCCTTAGCAGCTCCCTCTCCAGTTAAGGCCAGAAATGTCTCCTACTCACTCTTGTCTCCACGAGTCTTTTCATGTCAGGCTTGGTTATACTGTAGACCAACATTGATGACCCAGTCTGCCATAAGTCTTTGTCCCCTCCTTGGGAACACATGCCACTTTCCTATAACTGATACTGGGAGTTCCCTGAAGACAAGGTTCACGGTTTATGCCTCTTTATATTTTAAATACACATGCATGAAACATGGATCTCAGCACCATGCCTGGTACAAAGTGTAAGACCCAGAGACACTATCTATTTAGCATGCATGTTGGCATAACCTATTTCCATGTGCCCACATCAGATACGACCAATGATCACAGCAATCTTTCCTGCTAAGATTGACACAACCTCAGATCCTTCTCAACACAGGACCCTAAAAAAAAATCACCATTTGAAGAGATGTCAGCCCCACCCTTACTATATGCTAGTCATCCAGCCTGCTGGTGCAAGGGGTTGGGGCATGGAGGGGTGTAGAGTCCATGACTGGGATTCTATGCAAGGAAACGATGCAAACCTCTTGATTTCCCTCCCTAGTCCTCCCCAAATCTTTCCTCAAAAAGGCCAGAAGGCAAGGGTCAGGGCCACTTTAGCAGGACACTGAGTTCAGCCCTCACTAACTGTAGAAAGGCAATTCTAGGAGGAAAGAACATTCTCTGAGAATAGCTTCTCCAACCCAAGAGCAGATGGAGCTTTTGTTGTGCCAAGGCTGGGACACGAGCTTGTCATTGTCAGACAGGGTGTCTGGCCGGAGTACTCCATTGCCTCTCTAGCCCAGAAGAGGGCAGGCCTTTCCCTAGAAAACCCACATGGGAACTGACCTTGATTCTCCTCTCACAGGCTCAGGGACAAACCAAGAGAAAGAGAGGGGAGGGCGAGGAAAGAGCCTCCACCCACCACTGGGTTTACATTAAAATAACATGGGAAATTTTCAGGGCCTAGCTACCATCAGTGCCCCAGTCCTATCCTCAAACTGCCAGGTGTCCCCATTTGAAAACCCACCCTCTCTCTTTACAGGTAATCACAGTGTGCAGGAGGTGCTATTGCGCAGCCACACTGTCCACTAGAACTCTCTGGGATGATGACAGTGATCACTTCTGCACTGCCCAGTAGGGGAACCACTACCCCATGAGGCTACTGAGCATTTGATTTTTTTTGGCAGCACTGGAGTTTGAACTCAGGGCCCCACACTTGCTAAGCAGGTGCCTACTCAGCATTTGACATGTAACTAGTACAGCCAAGAAACTGAGCTTTTATTTAATTTAGCTTAAAATAATTAAAATTAAAATAACCACATATGGCTACTGGCTCCAGATTGAACAGTGTGGTGCCAGATGGTAGGAGCACCACATTGCTCTCTGCCCCTTTAGTTCCCTGCCCCTGGAGGACTCAGCTCTCTTTTCTTCCAGAGTCCAGAGAGGAAAGATGAGACAGAAAATGATGGACAGATATTCAGAGGCTCCTCAGCCATCCCTGTGTCTCCATTTTAGGTTGGGGAGATCAGGGTTTTTTGCCTTTCTATCTCCTCCAACTTGTCACCAAGGCAACAGGACTAACATGAAGTTGGGGAGGAAAGTGTCTCATAAAAAGCTGCTCATACACCAGCTCACTGTGGCTCCCACAGGGAACACCTTCTAAACCACCCCTAACCTCAGAGCTGACCTGCCAGGAAGCAGGGGATTTGCACAGAGCGGTTGGTGAGAAGACAGGGGTCATCATGCAGATTGTCAAAGGGCATCAGAGCCCTGCCATTGTCTTGGAAGCGGGTGTTGACAGCCAGCAGCCCCAGCTGGTTAGTCAGGTTGCGCAGCTTGGTGGCCACTTGGTCCTCACTGCCGTATACCCCGCTGGCATCCACAAAAGAAGTGAGCGCATTGATCTGGTTCCGGATAGTGATGTTGCTCCCAGTACAGGCCGGGCAGGAGCGGAAGAAGGGAATACAGTCACGTTGGTTCTTGATGCGGGGGTCATTAGGGGGGATCTAAGGCACAGAAAGAGGCTAGATTGACTCACAGTGAGCAGGAATGGCTCTTTCCTGCCCCTGGGAGGTCTGCCCCCTCAACCTGCAGGAAGGCCTCTCGAGTCCCTACCTAGACCTCTACCAACAGAGCACCTCTGAGGGTAATGACCATGACACTGAACTGGGAAGGCAGGAGGGTGAGGCTAGGGTAGGTATGGCCAGTCTTCTTCTTCTTTTTTTTTTTTTTTTTTTTTTGGTGGTATTGGGGTTTGAACTCAAGGTTTCACACTTGCTAGGCAGGCGCTCTCCCAGCCCTTGGCCAGTCTTCTGACCCCTCCTCACTATACCCTTTTCTGATTTCTCCTCCATCCCCATTTCTCTGGATTTGGTCCCTCAGACTAAATTTGGTCTCCTTTCCCTCCCTCTCAACTCTCTCCTCTTCCCTCCCTACTCAGCGTGTGCCTCAACCTGACCACTCCGCAAACCACACCCCCAAGGCTCTCTGCTCTGTGTGACTTGGCGGTGGGGGAAGGTCCCTATTTGGGAGGAAATGGGACTGGGCACAGTGCTCCTACATTGGGCATGTGAGGGACATTGACAATGTCCTCATCCCAGTCTCACAAAGATCCAGTAATCTCACTACCTTCCCCAAGTCCAGTCAATAATAACTATTATTTTTCCTTGGCCTGGAAAAGGCAGTGAATAAAAAGGATGCCCTTGCTCACAGCTGTCTCTGAAGACAGTGACAGGTCGGAGCTGGCGACAGGCATTGACTCTGGACACAGGAGTCAAGGCTGGGGAGAAAACGTGGGCACAGAAGGAAGATGGCCACTTCCAGAAGCAATCTCCCTTCTCCACGCTGCAGGTAGTGGATGGGAAGAAGGAGGCACCTTGAGTGGAAAGCAAGGCGGCTGCTGCAGGCAACTGGTCTCGCAATTGAGGCCAGTGAGGAAGGAGGCCCGGGCGGCTGGCTCCGGGGTGAAGTCGAGGTCGTGATCGATGAACTGGCCCCACTGCATGAACATGAGCGAGCGCTCCTGGTCTGGAGTCAGCTGCTCGGTGGGGAAGCGCACGATGGCGTTGGAGACTGCACGAGCCTGCGGGACAAGGAGCGTCAGGGCTCGCCTGGGTCGCCGCGCCTCCTGCAGCTGGGCCTCGCCCCCTCTGCACGCTGGTGCTCACCAGGGGCACAGGAAAGCCGCCGCGTTTGACACCGGGCGTCCAACCATAGGGCAGTGAGAAGCCGTCTTCGTACTCCGCAGGCAGCCAGCGCGCAAAGGCGCGGTTGGAGGCCCCCAGGGTGGGGCTGCGTCTGCAGGGACAGTATCAGGAGCTGACACTAGGTGGAGCCCCGGACCTGACCCGCCTCCCTGAGCCTCCACGCTGGGCCCGCACCTGTTGTTGCAATGCCCAGTGATGGTGCGGTACTTGTCTTGCTCAGGGCACGTAACCCCCACGTCCTGGTAGGCGCAGCCACTTGACTTGAACAGCAGATTTAGCTGAGCAGGTGTCAGCACATCTGCGAGAGGGAAGGGAGTGTGGGAGCCGAGCTCTCCTCTCCCCGTTTTCTACCCTTGGCAACCGAAGCTGAAGGGGTGGAGGAGGGACCCCGCAGGCTGAGAAGTGGAAGGGATGCTAGGATGCCTCTGAAACTCCTTAGAGGGAGGAGTTGGGGAGATCACTGGGACATGTCTGGGGCCACTAGGAGGAGTCCTTAGTGGAACAGGGGCCTGGAGTGGAAGGGGCTACAGTACCAGTGACATTGAAAGGCCTAGGCCACAGGATCTGCAACTTCGTTTTGAGTAGGTCTAGGGCCACGTGCAGATAGTCTGCGGCCCTCACAGCTGTCCTGGTGGCTGCCACGGGCTGCTTGAAGTAAGATAGAAGTTCCATGGGGCTGGCCGAGCCACTTCGAAGCCGCTGCTTGATGCTGCTCGGAAAAGGAAGGACCAGAGACACTCAGCAGGGTGCCAGCCCAGGGTTGGACAAGAAGGACGATGTAGACAGACCCACGGACCTGAAGGTTTCTTCTTATAAAAAGGATTTGGAGGACTGAGGGCATTGCTCAAGTGGTAGAGTACTTGCCTAGCAAGTGCAACACCCTGAGTTCAAATCCTGATAGGCCAAAAAAAAAGAAAAGGTATGGACCTAGGTGTTGAGACAGAAGCAAGGCCACACAAAGGATAGCTTTGAAGATACTGTTACACCCAGAGATGCAAGGACAGACAGACATAGGGTCCAGCTCCTTCATGGGCCCCCACCTTCCTCCACAAACTCCCCACTGCCTACTCCTTCTCAGAAAGGCCTGGGCAGCTTTCCCCAGGGCTGGCCAGTGTCTGGCACCCTCACCTTTCCCGTCGCTCCTTGTAGGCTTTGTCCACTAGCCGCTTGGCCTCCTCCATGCAGGTCAGCACCATCGAGGTCTCCACCTCCTCCAGGACAGCTACCCAGAGCAGGAATCATGAGGTCAGGAATGAGTCCAAAGCCCTTAATTGGGCTCCAGAACCAGAGGGGCACTGAGAAGGAGTCCTTGGATGCAGAAACAAACACCCCAGCACACCCCCTGTCCCCTTCTTTATAAACTGTTACCTGGAGTGGCACTGTCAGAGGACTGGGGAATGACCAGGGGGGGCAGGAGCCCTGCTAGGACCAGGAGCAGCTTCATCTCTGCGATGAGACCCCAGCCCAAAAAGCGCCCTGAGCATTTGGGAAAAGAGAATATCCCATCACCCCCTCCCCAAGTCTCCTACTCCACCTTCACACCCAGCCTCATCTCAAAGTCCTGGTCTCTGAGCAAAGCCGGGCCTCTGTGAGGGAGGGGTCCACAGCACCCCCCACCAACTATAGCACTAGCCCCCGAGGACCTCAACTCCACAGCTCACCTGACATTGGCAACTCCTCTCACTGAATCTGAGCTTTTACGTGCTCTAAGCTGGGGGCGGGGTCAGGCAGAGGGAGGGCTCTCTCCAGACTGAATTTCCCCCCCCCACTGGGGTTGGGGTGCATGAAGAGGGGCTCCTGAAATGGAGGAGAGGGCAAAAAAGGTGCCAGAGTACTCCCCAAACTTTTGAGCATAGCACTCTTACCCCAGGGTCTCACGCCCAGGCCAGAGCTGTGTCTAGATGGTACAGATGATCCCTCAAAATTCTGATTAAACTGGGTATCCAGGATCCCTTTGAAAGAAACAAAAGTCAGGAACCAACAGCTAAGGAATTATGGGGAATAGAGTGGCCTCAGTGGAGAAGGAGGGAGTATGTGAAGGGGAAATACAGAGTGATGCTGACCCAAGGGGCCTCAAGGCCACCCCCATCCCAACAGTCACCTTGCCCCTGTGGCCAACCCTGATGGGCAGCCTCCAGGGCTGCCACAGGGACAGGAAATCTGGCTGGAGACCGTTGGGCTTCACAGGAAGGAGGACCCTGGGGACTATAGACTAAGAACCAAGGTAATTTCCTCTGTCCCTCCCCCTGTTCGTTTCTTCTTGGTTTATGGTAGGGGGCTGCCTTCAGCACCCCACCATCTGCTCCTGGATTTCAGGAACCAGGAGAGAGCAGAGCTGGTTGTGGTTAATGGTCAGTTAGTGACACAGCTCAGGGCCTCCCTGGGATGGGATCAGCCAGTTAGGAGTATTTGGTTAATGATTCAGGGTCATTCTAAAAAGAGTTTAGAAGAGAGGGGAGTTTCTTTCTTGAGAGGCTGGCAAGGGAGCGGTCATTCTCAGGCAAATAAAGTATGTGTGACTTATGACCCTGTTTGTCCACTTCTGGGATCTCCTCAGGCCAAAGACATGCCAACCATAACCCATGTTCTACTTTGGTAGAACCATAACCACCTTTCTGCCACACTTTTGTGTTCTATGCCAAGATCACATCTTGGCCAAGGATCAAGGGACAACACATCCCAATGTACCCAAAGATCCTGTCACCTGCTGGGAAACTAAGCCCTCTCTTCCAGTTGTACTCTGCAAGTGATTCATTGTAGGTGAACTTGGTCACGTGGTTCTTTGTGAATCAGGTTCTAGAGTTCTATAGGCTTGCAGAAATACTTTTTTAAGCCTAAAAGTAATATACTTTTATTGATAAGAAATCAGAGAACAAATAAGCAAAAAATAAAAATAAATTGAAATTACTTGTAATCAAGTGAGATTATGGGTAATTTTTTCTCAAGGTTCATCATTGTTTTTCACATAAAGAAGGAAAGGAAAGAACTCACAGATGTGAAGGTTTCTTCTTATAAAAAGGATATGGAGTGGGGGGGAGGATGAAAGAGAGCAGTGGAGGGATGAAATTCAAGTATGATATATTTGATACATTGTATGAACCTTTGTAAATACTCCAATGTGCCCCCATCCAACACAACAATAATAATAAATAAATAAATAAATATAAAATTGTAAAAAAAAAAAAAGGGGGATATGGAGGACCGAGGGCATGGCTCAAGTGATAGAGTATTTGCAGAAGGAAGAAAAATAATTTTCCATAATCCCACCACTCATCAATACCCTATTTAATAATTTAATATCCTATGTGTAGAAATAATATCTATTTAAACAGTGATAAGAATAACTCTAAATATTAATTGCAACTTTCTTTAAGTCCTTAACAATTTTAGCCCAAATGTATCTCTATCAAGATGTATAGGTTTACTTCATTTTTATGTCTTCATTTTTGTATGATTTATTAACTAAGCTTGTTAGATACTTGATTTGGTTCAATTTTCATTATTATTAATAGCATTGGAAAGAACATCCATGGAGTTAAATCTCTAGTCATACCCAGTGCTGGTGGCTCACCTGTAATCCTAGCTATTTGGGAGGCTGAGATTGAGAAGATGCTGGTTTGAGGTCAGCCCCAGCAAATAGCTCAAGAGACCCCCCCATCTCCAAAATAACCACAACAGACTGACAGAGTGGCTCAAATGGTAGAGCACTTGCCTAGCAAACGCGAGGCCCTGAGTTCAAACCCCAGTACCTCCAAAAAAGTAAATACATAAAAATAAATAACCAGAGCAAAAATGGACTGGAGGCCTGGCTCAAGCAGGAGAGTACCTATTTTGTAAGTGCAAAGCCATAAATTAGAATCCTAGTCCCACCAAAAAGAGATCTCTAATCACATCTTCAGTTACTTCCTTAGACAAGGAATCATAAGCCAAATGCAGCGGTGCATGCCTATAATCCCACTGACTTGGAGCCTACTGCAAGTAAGTGGATCTGAATTTGATCAATGGATCTGAATTGCCAGCTTGTGCAACCCTGTCTCAAATTTAAAAAAAAAAAAGTCTTAGAAGTAAAATTGCTGCATGTTTGGGCTTGCACATTTTTAAGGCTTCTTAATATTTAATTGAAAATGGTTCATCGTTCCAACAGCCATGCATGACAGCACTTGTTCCCCACCTCCTGATTACTAGTGTCCCTTATTGACTTTTATGAGATAGTCAAAACATTTAATACAGCCTCTCCTTACAGAGATGATAAAGAGGGAATCCAGAGAAGGAAATGACTTTGCCAAGGATGGCAATGTGGCACAGTCAGGATAATCTCAACATTAGGTCTGTGACTTCCAAACCAGTGCTCTTTGCCCAGTAGCCTTTGCACTTTTTCTGGCCTTTTTTCATTCAACTACATATAGTACCTATGGAGTCCTTCATGTGCTGAGTGCTACACTAGGCAGGAAGCACTGTGCACAGAGCAAAGTCCTTGTCCTCAAGGAGCTCTTGGGAGGAAGCCAAAAAGTCAACAAATGGTGCCCCATGAGCTGGTGCTAGGTTTCAGAGAGTGTCAAAGCATTTGGGTCAACTCGGTAGGGTCAAGGAAGGCTTTCTTGAGAGGCTGATGCTTGAAAGTGTCGAAGAAGAGTGTTTCAAAGTTGACCAAGTAGACAAAGGCTGGAAAGGGCATTCTGAACCCAGAAAATGACATCAACTAAGGCCTAGCACAAATGGACTTGTATCAAACAGTTCCAATTCAGGGATCAGGAGTGGACAGGGTAAGGTGGGGAGGCAGGCAAAGACCCAGAGCCCAACGCTCTTGCTGACCTACCAAGAAGTCTCATCCTGAAGCCCCAGGGATCCACGAAGGCGTGGTCAGTCAGGAAGCAATGGAGGACACACAGGGGGAGTGGGCCCGGAAGCTGAGAACTTGGTGTGATTTCCACCAGTGAGGAGGCCTACCCTGTGTTCCCTTAGACAGCACCGAGGCAACGAATGCTAGGAAAGCCTTTTCAAAGGATGATGTTAAAATGTCTTTCATTGTCTAGCCATATGAAGAGGGAAATACTCAAGCCATAGCATCTCCAAACCCCCTCCTTTTGCTCAGGGATGGGGCTATGGGCCTGGAGCCCCTATAAGGCCAGCAGCCTCCCCAATCTGTTTATCACCCCAACGAACCCTTTGTGTCTGCTTGGGTGTGTTTGAAGCTCAGAGGCTTCTGAAAATGCAGAGAACCAGGAATTGAAGATGGCTCCCCAGGAATTGGTCCCAGACAAACTGTGTGTCCTGTCAGTCACACTTCGGCTCCCCATCCTGAGGGTGGCCTCTGGAGGGCACCGCTGGAACTGCTACATCTCAAGGCCGGTCATTGGAGGAGCCCCCACCTACATGTCCTCACTCTCTATACGTCTTCCCCCACTCAGCTTTCCCAAACATCACCCCCTCCCTAGCTCAACTGCCTGTGGCATAACCGGTCCCTCAGCCCCTCAGCTACTGCTTGCAAAATAGCTTGTTCTTTCTTCACCCTGTTTAGGAAACCATTCAGTTGAGATTACAGCTAGGTTTCCTGTGTGTGTGTGTGTGTGTGTGTTACTTAGAGAGAAGGAGCCACTATCAGAAGGCTACGGAAGCTTTGGACCAGACCAGGACAGTGACTACTCGACACATCAATTTTTTTTTCATTTTTCTTTTATTATTCATATGTGCATACAAGGCTTGGTTCATTTCTCCCCCCTGCCCCCACCCCCTCCCTTACCACCCACTCCGCCCCCTCCCTCTCCCCCCCCCTCAATACCCAGCAGAAACTATTTTGCCCTTATTTCTAATTTTGTTGTAGAGAGAGTATAAGCAATAATAGGAAGGAACAAGGGTTTTTGCTGGTTGAGATAAGGATAGCTATACAGGGCATTGACTCACATTGATTTCCTGTGCGTGGGTGTTACCTTCTAGGTTAATTCTTTTTGATCTAACCTTTTCTCTAGTACCTGTTCCCCTTTTCCTATTGGCCTCAGTTGCTTTAAGGTATCTGCTTTAGTTTCTCTGCGTTAAGGGCAACAAATGCTAGCTAGTTTTTTAGGTGTCTTACCTATCCTCACCCCTTCCTTGTGTGCTCTCGCTTTTTCATGTCGACACATCAATTGCACCCAGCCTTTAGATCTTGCCTTACCTTCCTTCAAACTCTTAAAAATTGTGAATTCCACAGGTAATACCTGGATATATGTTGAATAAGGTTTAAAACAAATTACAGACCGGGTTAAAGCTCCCCTTAAATTAGGTTATTACATCATCTCCAATTCCAAATCCCTTCCTACACCCTCATTTTTTTTTTTAGTTTATAAGTGGAGTTATGGACTCAGAACCTTGTGCTTGCTAGGCAGGCACTCTACCACTTTAGATACAACTTCAGCCCTTTTTTTGGCATAGTTACCTCCTGGATAGGGTCCCACCCTTTTGCCCAAGACTATGATT